ATATATATATATATATTTATTACTTTTTGGACCAACATGTGGTGGTGAAGTTTTCCAAATCCCGAACTCTAGTCTCCATGCAGACTGTCAACAAGTGGGGAAAGATCCACTATAAGTCAACTGTCTTCCAGGTTAAACAGCTGAGAGAAAATATAAAACCCACTGATTAAAATAGATACAGCGCAACTGGTTATGTAACTGCAAATGAGGTCATGTAAATCCAGATAAATTTTAACTAAGACATTCAATTAAATAACACTAGTTCTCCGTGGGAGGAAACAGGATGGTCCAAAACAAATTCATAATATTTACTGGTTAAAGTTGAGTACTAATCTTTTCTACAGCTGCCCTAATGTTTTCCCCCACAGGCTCAGCAAGCGGGGTAAAATAAAACAGAGAGATGAAGAGAAGGAATAATTTTGTCCAGCTACTTGCTAGAGTGGAGAATCAGTTTGTCTGAGAACAGAATTTTGGACACATACTGCACAAGGAAAAAAAACAGGAGACACTGCGTAAAATCTCCCCAAGTTAAGACTTTGCCTCAGGCACTTTATTTAAGAGTTCACACTGTTGACACCAGAGGAGCTGCTCTTTAATTCTTAATTAGAGTTCAACTGCGGTGCCACATCTGAAGTGGAGCTAAGGTTAGGTTTCTGGGCATTTTTCGTTACTATGAGCCCCCGAAGGCAATGTTTGCTACTCCAAGACTCTCAGAGAAAACAGATTCTGTTTTGTTCAATTAGGTCATTCCCAGCGGGCACCGGACGTCAATGTAACGTCAGAAAGATGTTTAACTCTAACGACTGTGATGTCTGACAGATGTTAAATTTTGATGGGATGGGATTTGCTCATCTTGTCAGTATTTTACCTGAAATGAACATTGGCATTGGACTGACCCTGACATTGAATTTTGGTCACCCAACATCACAACCTGAGTGTTTGGTAAGTGAAGCCAAATCCATCTCAAACTGAAAATATTTGACACTTTACTCACATAAAACCTGTCCCCTATATCACTACATCATCCCAGCAGGTTGTGAGTTGCAGAGCCTTGAAGGAGGCATCTGCAGTGTTTTCTCGTGTCACTGATTTGGTTCCTATTACTACATATTTGGCATAGTAATGGAAATGAATATTCAATTTCAGCAGGCTGTTTGCTCCACAGATGGCTGGGTAGATGCATCACTTCACTGCTCACTGCTGTGGCTGGTTAGGTACAAACAGCAGACAGACTGCCACACTTACACAGGTATACAAATACACACTGACAACAGTGACTATATGGGCTGAATTAATGGAATGACTAATTGTTATTATGTATTTATTAATTAATTAATTTTTACAAAACAAATGATATATTCTTATTAATTAATGCCCATCCTTCTAACTAAGTACTTTTCTTATTCCTTAATTGGTCTCAAGCAGATGTGCAGACTCTTGTCATGATGATTAGAGCAAACAGTCCTCTGGAAATTGTGATTTCTTCCATTTTCTGCTGTCGACATGAATTCAATTTTTTTTTATTATACATCGTCTCTCTGCGATAAGACAAACTGTAGTCATTGCCAGCTTGTGGTACCTGATCATGATGTCACAAACAGGTAAAAAAGGCGATAAAGAGTTCAGCAACATAGAGCTAAAATAGAGCTTTAGCTCACAGGCAGATTATTAAATGTTTTTAAGGTGCACACACACAAACACACTACTCTCTGTTACTCTTTCTTTCCTCAGTGCGGATGAGCGATTCGACGCCACCTTCCACACCAACGTACTGGTAAATGCATCAGGTTACTGCCAGTACATCCCCCCTGGCATCTTGAAGAGCACCTGCTACATCGACGTGCGTTGGTTCCCCTTCGACGTTCAGAAGTGCGACTTGAAGTTTGGCTCCTGGACGCACAACGGCTGGCTGCTGGACCTCCAGATGCTGGATGTGGACACATCCACCTACATACCCAACGGAGAATGGGACCTTGTGGGTAAGAGAGCCTTTGTTTATGTTGTATCACTGCAGGTATTGCCACCAGGATATATGGCTGTACTTGAGAATCCAGTATGACCATCTCATGGGATTTCTCCATCTGAGTCCTGAGATGAGATCAAAACAGACTTTGAAAACAATTCCTTTAGGGGGTATAAACATATTGCACAACAACTTCTGGTGTATTCAGTCTGTGGTGTAAAACTTGGGATACTACAGCACCAGTCCCCTTCAACTGATATTGTCTATGATTTTAAAATATTTGACACAGCTAAAATATTCAGGAAAAACTGTCCAAGACAATTAGAGTAAAAATGCTTACAAATACTGGACATAAATAGCCCCGTTGCACACACACACCCCCCCCCCCCCCCCCCCCCCACCCCCCCCCCCCCCCCCCCCCCCCCCCCCTCGTTACACTGGGATCAGGCCTTGCCAACTTCTCGTGTTGAAAATTGAGTCGAATGAATCACTGTTATATAAATGGTTTTCACTGTGGGAAATCATTTGGATGGTTTTAGAAGGATGAATTGGAAAGTGGAAAGATTTTTGGAAGACCTCTCTAGCGGGGTGTTTCCAGCTGGGACAGAGAAAGAGCAGATCCCGGTGCCTGTGGCCCTGGGGTGATGGTTAGCTGGAAATGGGTGTCAGACAGCACCAGATGGCATGCAATAGGAAATGTTTGACACATTGGCAGGCGTGTAGCCAGGCCATATGCGAGGGCAACACTCCATATCCCTAGAGTTAGAGTTCAAGGTGAAATAGTTCAACTACCAAATATCAAAAAATGATTCTGCTGGTTTTTTTTCTCCTGTTTTTTGGCTCACTGAACATTTTAACTGATGATACAAAGTTCAAATGAAGGCAAAGTTCAAAGCCTGGTCTGACTTAGATCCACCCAAGTGCAACATGTTCTGGGGTTTGCCTCTCCCTCAGGTGTGCCCGCTAAGCGTAATGAGCTGTACTACGAGTGCTGCAAGGAGCCCTACCCTGATGTGACGTTTACGGTCACCATGCGTCGCAGGACTCTTTATTATGGACTCAATCTGCTTATTCCGTGTGTGCTGATCTCTGGCTTGGCCCTGCTGGTTTTCCTGCTGCCTGCGGACTCTGGGGAAAAGATTTCTCTGGGTGAGAGGAGGCTGCTGAACACACAAACACAGATATTCTTTGTAGAGCTAGACCAGTATATTGACTGATACATGCTTACTACAGATATATTGGCATTTATTTATCGGCTTATGAATAACAGGAAATTGCAGTACAGAAACACCAAAGTAGGTCTGAGATAATTTAGAGACAATAAACAGCGTCACAATTACATCATTGGTACATCAGAGAGCTCTGACAAGTGAGTTTTACACTGTAAAATGTCGTTCTGTGTGTATCTTGGTCACAATAAAAAGAATCTGAGGGATAGGTATCAAGCCTCTTAATTTACATTTTGTATTTATGTTTAAAAAAACAATACTATCGGCCAATATTTAGTTATGAGACTTTTTAAATTCCATATCAGCCTCAAAAGTCCAGTGTCAGTCTGGCCATATGATGAAATGAGTGCTGAAGTAACTTAAATGTGTTATTGATCTATTGAAGAAAGACAGAAAGAAGGGAAGGAAAGAAATATGTTTTTTTTATTTATTTATTTTTTACAGTTTTTAAATACAGTGAATCTGGAAATAAACACCAGGAGCAATATACAAAAAAATGTTATCAGGGGCTTCAAGCTGAAATACAGTCACAACTGTACACCAATGCATAAACACGTTAAAGCACACTTGTAGATTTGTGCATGCATATTTCTCTACATACACTTATGAATCAGAAAGCAAGCCATGAATACATGCATGTCACATCAGCTTGGAATAATTGAATTTTAAAAATAAGAGGCTTGCCACTAAATCCATGTTGGAATAATATCAGTGCCAGTGACTTTTGATGAATAGCCATTTGTGGATGAGCAGCCACCAGTTACAAAGTCAGAGTGTTTGAGGAATTTCTGGAACCTACTTTGGACACGTCAGATGAGCCAGCAGCTGACAAATGGTTGTAGTCGTGGTAACATAACTGATTACATACACAAGTAATTACAGGAATAATTTCACACACCAGTGACCCTGATCACATCATTATGTATGTATATGCTCATGTTCTCTGTCTCTCTCTCCCTGTGTGTGTCTCTCTCGATCTCTGCCTCAAGGCATCACTGTGCTGCTTTCGCTAACTGTCTTCATGCTTCTGGTAGCAGAGATCATGCCTGCCACGTCCGACTCTGTTCCTCTCATCGGTGGGTTATATTTATACGTGTGTGTGAGTATATGTAACATTGGCGAGTCATGCAGATGCAGATGGAAAGAATGTCCAGACAGACACGCATCATTGAAGAGAGGCAACACCTCACCTGCTTGTGCATGTTTGCATCTTTACAAAAAACTTGAATAAAGAGGGAGAAAGTCTCCTTAGAAATCAGTCAAAATAAAGTGAATGTCATATCGATTTAGTCTATTAACACACAGACATTACTGACCATCTGAGTATTTCTTGCACTTCCAGTAAACACCATAAATATAAAAACATTAACTATTAACTATTGAGTGTTTTCAATGTACGCAATTGCATTATCTCTATAAATACTGTATATGGTCTCCTGAAAAAATAATAAATAAAAACTCATCTTTGGGTCTGGTTTGACTTTGGACTGAGTAGCCTGAGGGCGTCCATACATCATTCCCCTGAATGGATTGAGTAAATTGGGTGGCCAGAGCTAAAGCTGTCAGCACCATTAATAGGCTGTGAAATGTCTGATTCTCCAGTGGGGGGAGGCTGGAAAGGAAAGAAGCATAGAAGAGGTAATAATGGATGAAGAGGCCACGATAGAGGGGAAGGGATGAAAAACCTTTGGGCCTCAGAGAGAAAGACTCCAGGGGCCTTGTGGAGGAAGTGAAGAGGGAAATGTAAAGAGGGTTAAGGAGGTTTAACACTCATTAAATCAGCTGTCATCAGGGCACAAAAAGAAATGTGACTTTTTGTCTCATATGTGTGAGAGAATGCGCTTACATGCTTTATATCTGAAGCCCTGTTTTGTGTTATATCAATTCCAACTGGTCAAAGTGAAATATCAACTGTATTATTATATGAGTTGATGTGTATGAGTAGATGTAAGTAGTGTTTGGTCATGCTGAACACGGTTGCTATTTGCCCTCACTGAGAAGCTTGACTGTGATTTTTTTTATTTCCCATGACCTGAACACAAGGCCACCTGGGACACTTTTAGTAGCCTTGTTAAAATGACTCATGTCCCTTTACAACACAGTGGGTGAATGTGGATGTGAGTTATTGTAGCTGCTTGAACTCAACTGTAAATATATAAAGCAAGTGATCAACACTGCTGCTAGACTCAAACCATATGTCTTTTATCATAAGCCTCTAATCACCAGATACTTTAAGTGTGTTCATTTCATTTTAGTTCAATTATTTTGACTTATCTTATCTGGTTCAACACCACGTGGCTCAGTTCATTCAGTTATTTCAGCCATGAACAACAATGTGGTTTGTGACTGAAAGCCTCACAATTATGTTTTGAATTATTATACATCATATCTACAGACAGCCTTCTTCTAGTGCTGTATCCATAAAGACAGCCAAAGTCATTAGTGATTGACCATAAAGCAGCCAGGACACAGCCAATGTCCTTCCAACTCTCATTAAACACATCCTTTAACACAATATTCAATGTCCTGCCTCTTATTTCTCCTCTCATCTCTTTCCCCATATCTTTGTTTTATTATCCTCTGCTCCACCTCTCCTCTAACCCTCTCCTCTTGGTTTTGCTGCTTACCTCTTCCCTCCCGTCTTTATCTCCAAGACCTGACAAATAAGGTCATAATCCCTGACCTCACTAGGTGACATGAAGGTTGACTGCAGTGTTTAGCTGTTAGCTTTTCTTTGTTCACAGTCACTTGCAAACAAGAGAAAGGAGGGCAGGCCCTCAGATATACCTTGTGTGTGTGTGTTAGTGTGTGTGTGTGTGTGTGTGTGTGTGTGTGTGTGTGTGTGTGTGTGTGTGTGTGTGTGTGTGTGTGTGTGTGTGTTTGTACATGCTGGTTGAGAGTAGAGTGTTCATTTAGTGTTCCCCTGCTGTTCCCGCATGTGGGTGAAAACATCCCTCCAGAACCAACACTAATCTCCCTCTCCTCTACTGTTTTTTGGTTTGTTTACCCCTATTCTCTGTTTTGTCACAATTTCTGCACAGATTTTTATTTCCCCTGTCTGAGTTCAAGTGTGCATCCTTCCCCCTTGGCAATGTAACTTATTGCACAGATTGATCAGACTTGCTTTCCTTTCATGTTTGAGTGTGAAATCAACCTATTTTTTGGACTAAATTCAAGCTTAATGTTTTACATGTTAGTACATGTTTACTAAATGTGACCATTGGGTAGTTCAAGTGGGCTGAAAAGGGAAAAACATTCAACAAGTAATAAAATCCTTGACCTTATTTATAACTGAAAATAAAACTAAAAGTGTGTTGATTTTTTTTTCTGTGTGTGTGCACTTGGCAGCCCAGTACTTTGCCAGCACCATGATGATTGTGGGAATGTCTGTAGTGGTGACTGTTATCGTCCTGCAGTTTCACCATCATGACCCTCAGGGAGGCAAGATGCCTAAGTGGGTGAGTGACTGAAATCGATTTAATCACATATTGATCACTATTGTCACAGATAACACTTAGCACAAATGTCTGTTTTTGTATTAATCTCTCTCCCCCTTCAGGTTCGGGTGGTTCTGTTGAACTGGTGTGCCTGGTTTCTCCGTATGAAACAACCTGGAGATGAGCGCAAGCGGACTGGTTACAAGTACCGTCATGCCTCCCAGCACCACTCCAGCACCAGCTCCATAGAGATGGGCACAGTACCAAGCCTGTCTGTGCCCCTCTCACAGACATCCTGCCCCCCGTGCCCCACAGGCACCTCCAATGGTTCCATGAGCCTCTACTTTGGTAGTTATCACCCTATAGAGAGCCCACACTGCCCGCCATCTAGCGACTCCGGGGTAGCGCTAGGCGGTCGTGCCCACAGCTCCCCTAGTGATGATGCTGAGCCACCTGGAGGAGTAGGCAGTGGCGTCGGAGGGCTGGGGATGGGAGTTGGCATCCCCCCACCAGAGATCCAGCGCATCCTGGAGGAAGTGTCCTACATAGCCCAGCGGTTCCGGGACCAGGACGAGGCTGAGGCCATCTGCAGCGAGTGGAAGTTTGCAGCGGCGGTGGTGGACCGGCTGTGCCTGGTGGCCTTCTCTCTCTTCTCCATCATTTGCACCTTCACCATTCTCATGTCAGCACCCAACTTCATCGAGGCTGTTTCCAAGGACTTCACATAGCTGGTTGCAGCAGCAGGAGGGAGGGAAGGAAGAATGTGCAAAATAAAAAAGGGGAGGGGGAAAGGAAAGAGTGCAGTGCTGTATGTGGTCCCCAACCTACAGGTTGGACACCCCATTGGATAGGAGGTGAGCCACACAGTGTTTTATGAGGAAAAATGGTAATATCTCCAAAAACTTAGTGCAAAGAAATAGAGCCTTGCAGTTCTGCCAAGCAGCTGAATCGTGTAGTCAGTTGAACCAATCATGAAACAAAACATTTGCGATTGATCAGCAAGTAATTACAAAGACACATCACTATGTTTCATTAGCAAATTTCAAATTGAGAAAAGAAACATATATATATAGTAATTATTCTAATATCTAGAAGAGCAAAAGAGGTTGGTCATGCAGACTAAACAATGAAGGTCACCTGGGGCAGTAGAGCATTGCACTGTATAGATTTTCTTTTTTACATTGATCAAGATATCAATAAGGAAAAGATAATATGGTTGTCTTTAAATATCATCATTGTATCTGCACCAGTCATTTAAAAAACAGCTTAATTTACTGCACAGTGACACATGAAGCACCACAGTCCAACTCACTGCCTCCTCTCTAGTTCATTTCAGTCAGCTCAACTGTTGTTGTCCTGTATGTACAAATCCACACATGCACATGTATAAATATCACGTCAGTCTGAGCTCATACACCGACTGTTCACTTCATGAACTCTTGATAAGGAAGTCACACAGACTTTTCTCTGACGATGTACCATCCTTGTAATGATGTTAGGTTAGATACTAAAATGAGATGTTTCACTGTGAATTTTATTGTTTTTCGTTTTCACTTTGATCATCATAGCACTGGACACAACTTCATTGCTTTGACACTTGTGTACAGGCATTTTCTTTATCCGCCAGTGTAAAAATGTTCATTTAGGATCACTTTTCGCTTTGTCTTGCCTGTTTAATGTTGCCAGTAGTCAACAGTTTGGGACGGTGTAGTAATGAAACATCCAGTATATTGTATCAAGCAGTGCTGTGCTGACTGGCATGTACTGGTGTTGACCAGTAACACAAGCAGAACAGGTGTCTTTTAACTGTAGAGTACATCTTTTAACCAGGTGGTCTGACACTTCGCATACAAGTCATTCATTTATCCGTAGGAAACAGGTCAAGTAGTTGCAATAGTTTTGAAAAAGAAATTGTCTCGCTGCTGTAAAAAAACGTATATTTATGTACCCCTAAAAGATGAACGGGAAGTTGGACTTGTTGCTCTTTACTGTATATAAGTGGTCACTGAAGATGAAGAGCGATGTGACTTTTGAACCTCTGACACCACAAACAGTGGAAAGAGACTTGACTGCAAGAGGAAAACTTCTCAACTCCATCTGAAACCATATCACTGGAGAATAAAACTGTAGATTTATAAAAGGCCCTAGTGTCAGTAAGTTTTGCCTGTGTTTTGTAGAGGGAGCCGAGTGACTGATTCATACAACAAAGACGTTAATGTGTTAAGTTCCTCCTCCACATCCCAGCCACCTCTTTGTTGTAGCTACAGTTATTGGTCTCTTTTTCTCTTTCTCATTCCAAGTGTCATTTTTTGGCTCTATGTTAATAAAAGTCTATTTATTCTCTGTATAACAGGCTCTGGGGAATGCTTGGTGCAGTCTGGGAAGAAACCAGAGGTGTGTTGCTTGTCATCTGGAAGAGTCGCCATAGAAACTATATATCGTATAGTACAATAACAGCTAAGCCGGATTATAAGTTCACTGTGGTGAACAAATTGAAATTGAACTGTGGTAAGTTGTGGCATTCAGAGCATTATCCCAAACAAAATCTAAATCCCAATAAGCGTAACTTACTGGGATAACTTCAGTAGTTTCAAGCCTGTTAAACTCCATCCACAAGTTACAAGTTCAGTCAGAGTGCACGCTGCTTTACTGCAAGCTGCCAAATTGGAAGAAAACAGATCGGCCAGATGTCTTCAGTGCAAAATTTAAAGGCTCTGTTAATGAGGATAATACAATGGAAACTGGAATAAACAGCTAAATGGTTGCGACTCGGTTGTATTAATAGCAAAAGAGTGGCATATGTAACGATGAGCACATCAATAAAAACAATGTCAGCATCCTCACTGATAATTAGGAAGATTAGTGATACATTACGGCATCTGGTGTTTTTGTCTCCAGCTTTTATCACTTTGAAATATTCACAGTATTTTCATGGGCTGGGGTGTGCTAACCATGACAGAGAGGCAAAAAAGAAAGCAACGAATTCAGTCTCAACTGTGAGTCTTTACCATGAATCTCAAGACTGTTGGACAGCTCAAACAATCAAAGAATATCATTAGGACAATGCAAGTACAATGTTTTCAGTTTTATATAAAAATGTCCAAATTCCATTTATTTAAGCTTAGCAGATAGAGGTAGAAAATTGTGTTTGGTCTAAGGAAGGGAAATAAAACATTGAATTGGAGCGGAAATCAAATAGAAATCCGAGCTGAAATAGGCCAAAAAGAAAACATGCAAACCAAAATATGTGGGGCATGTTTTCCTTCTGTGGTCTAGGAAATATGCTCTGATTTCTTTCTTGTGCAACCAACAAAGGATTCCTCTCTACTTCCAATTGTTTGATGTTTTGTGGATGAACTCCAGTCAGTAAGATCGGGCCCTCATTTCAGGTGGAGTAGTTGGTGTATTTATTTTTTTAATAGATAAAGTTTTATTTTAGTAAGTCTACACACTCAAGGACTATCAAAAACCAATCAGCTTTGTCCTTGCACAATACAATTTTTTTTTCTGAATTCAGTCATGAAAAGATCTCAAAATTAGTGTAAAACCTCTACCAATACAAGTTGAAACTCCATTATTTTGGCATCAGCTTGAGTTTCAAATTCATGGTATTTTACAAAATAAAGCTTTATTCACTATCTGCTTGTTCAAAGTTTGTGTGACAAAAAGGCATGGAAATATATGGGTTACAGTTACAGTTAGCAGCAAGGCAGTTTTATTTTAAAGTGTGGAATTAACATCCTAAATAAACATTTTGCTATAAAGGCTAAGACTGAATATACCTGCAAGAGCATCACTTCTTAAATTGGCTTCATTTGACTATTGCCACTCATTTCATGATAATTCCTGGTAATAGGAATGTTTATTCACTCATTTAAAAAAAAAAAAACTAAAAAAATGATCATAATTATATTTTGTCTTTTTTTTGGAAAATGCATAAAGAAAAACATTCAGGGGTGTTTGATTTAGCTGAGCATTAGATACTTTACTGAGGTAGAAGTACTCACCACTGGGGACCGTCAAATGTATGTGCACTGTTTATTACTGATAAATGGGATGTCTAAAATTGTGTATAAACTCTGTATGTGTAACACACAGGGACACTAAAGTGCTGACTTATGCCTCCTGCTGTCTCAGTATTCTAATCATTTATTAAAAGGGCATGGGAATAAAAATGAGTGAAACAGTCCATGACGGAGGCAGATGGAAGTAATGCAGCCCGTGGGCGGAGGAGTACGCAGCACTTTGAATAAGCTTTTTAAAAAGAGATTCACCCGTAGATCTATGAAAGATCAAACTGTATAATCGCACTTTGGTTAACAGTTATAGCAGTTGTGATTTGGACTGATCATACTGTAAATAGATGAGCAGCTGCACTGGTTATGCAACAGTATCCTAATGCATTTGCCCCATTAAACTGCGATGTCACTTTGAATTCAGAAGTGGAACAAGGAGGCTGTGTTAACTATTCAGTCATTTTCGTGGCCCACAAGTACTGGTCATGAGAGAGCAAAGAAGTCAACAAACGCTAACAGTAAATATGATGTTATGATTCCCTTACAGTCATTCAGATGAATAGTTTAAAAGAAAGTACTTTGAGAGTTTGGACTAAAGGGTTTAGGGCTGCAATCAGTCAGTGGGCCACATGTAAAGAATATTACATAACTGAGGATAAACTGAGAATCCCTGATACAAGTTTATAGGTTAAGGATAGAGAGAGTAGGTTCACAATAAAGGTTGAGCTCTTACATCCATATGTTGATGTGTCTGTGTGTGTGTGTGTGTGTGTGTGTGTGTGTGTATTGTGTGCGTGCTATGTTCAACTCTATTTTTTAAAGGAACAAGTTTAGAATTACAAGCAGATTAAACTATGAAGGTGAATGTAGGTTTATCCTCATAAATATAGTAGGGGGAGTTTTGTGTGTGTGTGTCTGTGTGTGTGTGTGTGTGTGTGTGTGTGTGTGTGTGTGTGTGTGTGTGTGTGTGTGTGTAGGTGTGTGTGTCTGTGTGTGTGTGTGTGTGTGTATACTTGATGCCCGAAGGATCTCAAAGTATGTTGGCTGAAAGACAAGCAGCCTCTCTATATTGTGTGTTAAAGGTTAATCCCTCTCTCTATTTCTGCAAGACAGGCCCTCCTCTGTTTTGTTCTGCTTACCTTAGCTACACCCTTAAGGGTTTTGGAGACTGAGTGGTGTGTGTGTGTGTGTGTGTGTGTGTGTGTGTGTGTGTGTGTGTGTGTGTGTGTGTGTGTGTGTGTGTGTGTGTGTATAGAAGAAAAACACACTAAGGAAGTGTCTATTCACTGAAGATTATATACTACAGCCAACTAGATACATACACAGGACACGAAGAAAGCTGGAGTTAGAATCTGATTCTGGATCAGGGTCTTCATTAAACTTCACATGGTGATATACAATCACACAGTCAATGACATTCATTATTGTCATTATCAATGGAACTAAACAAGGCGGAAGAAAGTCAGTGCTGTCTTGGTGCACATAAACAACAACTATGATTGGGAGCAGGAAGAGTCAAGGACGCCCAAACTGCCCAGCTCCAGCCGCAACCTGAAATGAAACAGAATCGCACCCAAACACACAGCAGGCACACTCAACTCCCACTGGCAAGAAGTTGAACTCGTGCTGTCTAACTGCTCTTACCTTACCTTACTCTGATGAGACTGAGTCATAGCAAGTAACTGCTCAAAGCTAAGTCTGACCAAATTATAAGGGCAATGATGTCATATGAGGAAGTGTGGTAGGAATAATACATACAGCCAAACACAAAGTTTTGCTTTTGTTTGGTTTTTTTGTGACACGTTACAGGCCTCAGGGTTACAAAATGTTAGCTGTTATTAATGCATGAAGTATTCTACTGTATGTCAGCGCAGTGCAACACCAGCTCAGTGCAATATACACAGACAAATAGAGCAAATAGTACTATTTGAGAAATATTAATGATCTCTAAATTTGCAGGTAATCTCGTTTTGGATAGACGAACAATAAACAAATCCAGTCGAAGTCTGTCAGACTCACTTGTGAGAGCCAGCATTTTCTGGTTGATAAAAAAAAACTGCTATAGTAGAAAGTGAAAGTCAGGATAGTGTTTAGGGTGTAAGAACATGTACTGCATCGATTATGTACAG